GATCATGACCGCATTTTTACATTACTTTAAAGTATAAAATGTTTTTAATCCTTTTACCTCTCTCTCTCTCTCTCTCTCTCTCTCTCTCTCTCTCTCTCTCTCTCTCTCTCTCTCTCTCTCTCTCCCCCCTCCCTCTCTCTTTCGCTCTCTCATGGTAAGAAAAATCATCTCATAATTTTCTAATGAAAATACTCAAACACTTCTAATGGGAAAAGCTGTTTTATTATTCAAAATTAGGCAATATCATCAAAAGCTATTAAACACTTAGTTTCTGTTAGCTGCAAAAACAATTTTTATTCAAATTTTATTTCTGCACGTTTACATATATTTTTAAATTAAATTAATGTTGAAAATGTATTGTGCAGGTTTATAATAGATTCATCGTATCATATATTAATATACATATATATATTTCATTCTATTGGTTTGCAAGAGAACACTATATATACATGTTATTTTTATAGCGTTAATCGTGCCATTCGCCGGTCTAGACTTGTATGGAATATTACACGTAGTAACGCAGAAGGAATTCATAAAAGCTCTGATAAAATTGTTAGACACACATTTAAAGCTAGCCAATGAGCAAGCCAAGAAGCATGGACAGATCGCTAATCAACTAACCGTTATTTTCGATTTGGAAGGATTTAATCTTAAGCAGTATTTATGGAAGCCAGGTAAAAATATGTGCATCTGCTATGGTTGCAAATCGTCTTAGTAGGGCATTGTGCCGCTTTCTTCTTATTGTTGTATTATTATTACAGCTGGCGAGACGATCATCAGCGCCATTCAAATGTACGAGGCAAACTATCCGGAAATTCTTAAGATGTGCTTTATAATCAATGGTAAATTTAATGAAATATTACAATCGTAATGCATTAGCGTGAGTTTACTTAAATCCGTATCAGACTACGGATTGAGATTGAGATTAGATTGAAAGTTAACCAACGCACAGTCAAGCCACAGTAGGTCAAACGACGATTCTTGTCGGTTGAGAACCGCATACGGTCCACGTTTTTTGCCGTTTTCGACGTTGAAGGTCTATCGGAATGAAGATCACTGTTCACTGAGACAGGCCATCTTTGAGTTGTCTAAACTTTAAGCCATTCTTTTATTGTGTGTCACTCACAGAGTTATTAAAAGTCCACCCTAAATACTGTTTTCCTATTGTCCACAATAGGATGCCCAAGGATCTCGTATTTCATGTTACGCTTATTTAACGAAACTTTTTCGTTTAAATAACGTAGATGACCGATGAGTCGATAACTGCGTTATACATTAATATAATCTTACGAAGTCACTTCGCTTTGTCGTTAAATAAATATCTTGAAAGCCAACCGCTGCGACGTCCGCATACAGAAAAAAAAATGCAAAAGAAATAATGCTCTATTAATATCTCAGCAAGGGATATTAATCCTATTAATTTTTCTTCTTTCAATTTTTGTTCTGTGGAAATATTTCTTTGGGGGTAACAAATAGTTTAACAGGTGATGCGTTGGCACAAAGACTTGCGGTTATTGTAAAAACGATGAAATGTTAACGACGTATTGCTAACAATCCATAGAGCACAAATTTCCGAGGGATGTCCAGAGCGTCTCCAAGGATTCTGAAGATGTTCCCTAAAGGTTTTTGCTGTATGGGAAGTTAGCTAGCTTAGAAAATTCTAGAAATGGGAAGAGGCGCAGTTATGAATGTACGTTTCATTGTTACAGCCCCAGCAGTCTTCGCTTTTGCTTTCTCCATTATTAAGAAATTCATGGATGACTATACAATATCGAAAATACAAATTTACAAAAACGATCCTGTGAAATGGAAAGAGGCAGTTCTCCAACTCATACCACGGGACCAATTGCCCGCTCATTTTGGCGGAACACTAACAGACTCGGATGGCAATCCGAGATACACGACAAAAGTATAAAATACATTTCTTCAAAAATTACGCACATAGCATAGAACATGTCGATTATGAGATGTGAAAATTTCGATACAAACGTGAGAAATTCTACGCAAGACGTTTAATTGCTCCTGAATATTTAAATGTTAATATAATTAACTGGTTGAAATTAGTACCGCTTTAAAAATTTTTATTTGAAAAGCTCTAAAATCTCAAGGGATTACAATTTTTATTGCAAACTCTTGCATTTCGAGTGCTTCACATATTTATTCGTTTTAGAATAATAAATTTACTTTGTTCTTTTAAATGTA